AAACCGGAGAATGCATTATTCATTACGTCATTTCTGCGGACAGTATTAGAACCGTAACCTTGCCGAGCTCGGAGATACTTATATTTCTACATAGTCGTCGCAACATAACACGATGCGACGCTTTAAAACATTCGCAAACAATAGTACTCGAAACAGTTTCCACGTGTGCCGTTGGTTCCCTGATATATTTATTTTTAAAACAATAGATAAACTTCAAATCAAATATTTCCCCTCACAGGAAAAAAGACTATCCACTTTACGAGTTAGATGCTCGTCGTGAAAGTTGTTTCCAGAGGGGAAGCTAAACCGCAATTTTTTCTCACCACACCAATTTTTATTTCCGATCGAAAAGAAAAAAGAAAAATAGTTTTTATTCGCTTCACTTTTTCTGTTTTAGAGAGATCGTTCGATTACTTTATCGACTCACCGTGGAACGCCGTTCCTCGCCGTTTAAATTGTTACAGATTAAAATTGGTTGCGGAAAAGCAAAGAAACCAGAATGCATCAAATATTAGAGCATCGATGTTTTAAAAACCATTGAAAATAATACTTTCGATGTTAGATCCAATTTGTTCTTGTCGTACTTGTAACAATATTAGCCGTGATTACGGACGCGATAATTCGATTTAACGGCAGGCTATTGCGTGCGCAGTGTCGTTCATCGATTTAAAATAATAACAAACGCTAGGTTTTCCATTTACGAAAGTAGCCATTATATCTCATTCATTACACGCTATTACCTAACTTCAGCAATTGGAAGGATTTCCCGAATATTTTGAAACCAAGTTTACATTAAATTTGAACATGCTTTAATTAAATTCGAATTTACATTACATTAAATTCGTGCACGCTCGAATTATAATTAAATTCGAATTGGGTTTGATTTTTTGGAAGTTGGAGATGAAAGATAGTGAAAGAACAGAAGTACGTTCTCGTTAGGCGAAAATAGAAGCTGATAAGGAAACTGGAAGCTTCGTTAAGTAAGATTATACGGTGGAGTGTATTATTGAGAGAGCAATCTCCTCTGCGCAAGCGGCTTATTTAAATAATTCATCGCTTACGTTTATAAAGCGAGATGATTAGTTTTTTTCCTCTTTTAATCGAGGAATATGTTTGAAAAAAATTTGATGCGAGGCAATTATTTATTCTGTGGGAAAACGTGGCGCCGAGTCGGACAACTTTCCGTAAACGCGGTACATATTTAATTAGTCCAACAGTCCGAATAACTAAACGCAGCTTTGACTACTCGTGCGTCTACCAATTAGTAAACGCAAATGTAACTTTCTTGTCGAGAGCTAAAACGAACATCTCCGAGTGATTCGTTTTAAATGGAAAACACGAATGCATTCCGAATCGATAAAGAATATTTCTCCGATATTCGTTGCTTGCCCGAATGTATTTCAGCGACGATTTCGACGATAGGAAACAGTTATTTAAAAACTAAATAAAATATAAAATCAAGTTTCAGGACGATAGCCCCTTTTCTATCGAACCCTTTCGAACTAACCAGTCCGTAAACAGTGAGAATGGCGAGCGAAGGGGTGTGCTTAATTGACAATGTCTCGATACTAGAGAACCGGCCGACCCCAAAAACCACCCTTAACATCCAACAAGGGATTGCCTGCATCCTCTGGAACCCCTCTGGACGATTTTTACATCTGCCTTCCTCTCCGCTTCCCGCGCTCTTCCCTTTATTAACCGTTCCTTCGCTTAAACCTGATCCCTGTTTTGCATATCTCTACTTAACTCTTGCCGTAAAACTTCTCCAACGAATTCGTGAGAGTAATTAGTTGTATTCTTTGAAACAGTCTGCAAATATTGAAAATTATTCAAACAATCTTCATTCTCTTATTTTCTAAATAATTATAAAAATTTTACTCGATTGGTCAATGAGATCTACACAAAACCCGATTCGTTTACGTTAAAAGAGCATTTCACAATGGCAACGTTAAATCTGCATAATAAATTTGCATATTAATGCTGTTATGTTCGCTACTTAAATCAATATTAGGCGTTTAAATAGCATCATTAGCAGGTTTCGGCGATGGCGAAGCTCTTCGTAGAAGAGGGCACGCCCACACTCATTCGCCCTATTATGTCGACCAAATCTTTTACGATCCTGAATTTCGTTAACCGCAATTCACCGTTTAAGATGCTTGAGTCGCGATTCATAAATGCCACTAATTGGTAAAAATCATGAGATTAATTTATAATACAAACGATCGTTTCGTATCAACTTGAACGTTATATTGTTTACGTATAATGAGGAAATGAATTTAGTATTTAAAGGAGAATCATGAGAATGAAACTCTGCGGAATTTCAGAGATACAACGAGGGGGACAAAAAACTAATGAGAATGCAAATACGGTTTTCAATAAAAACCACAAGTATGAAAGCGGCGACGTACAGAGCTGCATCCATTGCCTTCTTTTCTATTCGTTTTTATCCCGAAACAAATCGCGTTAAGCGTTTGCCGTAAACGATGCAAAAATAGCTTTCATAAAACATGCGTGAATTTACAAATTATTAGTATCGATATCGTGGCAATAATTTTAAGACAGTACGTATTTGTTTCTTTTTAATATACATTCGATATTCGCGTCACTTTTTCATTGTGAATTATATCTATAATATCGATATCCTGTTCGGTTTTATTAGCTCGGTTATAGTTTTCTCAATAAAAAGCGATTTGTTAACGATTTATTTTATTATGATAACCGCGAATTCGGTTGATTAGGGGCGTCATGCATATTAATAGATGTATGCAAATGTGCTCATATACACGCACGAATTCGACTGAGGACATCAGTCTTTCCGGTTAGGAGAAATTATCGATTTCAATTAAATTATCGAGTGCACATTGCACGTTACCGTGGGAAAAAAAATTCGATAACACCGATATACCGGTTCTCACGTTTCTCTATTAGCACCGGGATATAAATCTATATTTTGTTTTACGAGCGCGCCGCGTACCGAATTCCATAAATTTTTCAACTCTGCCATTTGTTTCTCCTTCCGGGATTTTTTCTCACTTGTTTCCCCGATTGCGTTTCCTTCCTATTGTACCTCGTTAATAAACACCCACGCAGGCTATAATTAATTATTTCACATTCCCGAGCTAATTCCAGTCAAAATTCCAGACCTGAGAACGAGTTAAATCCCGTGAATATTTATGGAGTTTCGTACTTGTTGCAAAAGTTAATCCCGAACGTATATTCAATTTTTTTTCAAACGAGTCTTACAATATTAAAAACGCGTGGCGGGCATGTCTCGTAATTAATATCGGCAGATGGGAAGCAACGGTCGGCGGAGTAAGAAGTCGAGGAATCAAAAGCGAGCACACAAAAGGAAACGGTCGTTAAAGAAGGCGCCATTAGCATGTCGTTAGCATAATACAAGGTGAATTTGATTCCGAGGTACACGAACGTGGCCCGAACAGTATCGCGGCCGCGCTGTTATAATCGCGTTATTATAAGACAGATTAATTCCGTTTTAAACTGTTACCCCTAATCCAGAGACAGACACCGACTCGGCACAATAAATTCCGATTAAACGCCAGGAGAAAAAGGATCGCGTACAGGATATTGAATCAATTCGAGAAAAAATAATCGACAGCATGAAATTTAACGAGGTTAATGGTCGTGGAAAAAACAGAAATTTGGTATTTAAGTAAAATGAGCTCGGATGAATTTTTGCCGATGAAATACTCGAGCAACGCGATGGTAGAAAGAAAAAAAAACAGAATGTAAACCGGTTTACGACGTCGAAAGAGCATTTCCTCGTTGTCGAACGACGCAAAAACAATGTAGTACGTCGAGCGTATGTGCACATGGAATTATGCGGTCCCTGTTCACCGAGTCTCGGTGAGTCAGAAAGTTATCTTCAATTAATCGTCATCATATGACGAAACACATATTATATTATCATTCGATCCAATAAGAATGAAATCACGAGCTCTGCCCGGGGATCAGCGAAACTAAGTTTTAAAACGTTGTTATATAAATCGGCCGGGATATAATGTATTTTCGATTTCGCAAGAATCATGCTGAAAACTTTTTAATGGCACGTAGAACTGTCTGCAGCAGTGAATTGGATCAAGGTTGCATAGAGTGCAGGTTTCAGAAAAATTCTGCCATTTATTCCTAATGGTCCACTTCGATCCCTTTGTCTTTTTTTTTTTAATTGCCCAATTAAAGCCGATCGTTATTTCGATACGACCACTATCGCAACGATTACAATGCTCGCGAACCGAGGACAATTGAATCCTATTGTCCGATTACTGAATCATCCGAAGAGAAAATATTGCATTAACGATCATCCGAAAACCCGTGAAATTCTGTTATAGATACGTTTCGTCCCTGGAGTTTTAATGCTACAATTATCTCACTGATAATTCTAATTACAGGTACATTAAAGTATTTCATATAGTAGAATGAAAAAGACTGCTTATTATCTTATCAGGAACAATTAGTGCGACTAAACGATTACACGTGAGCAATTTTCCATCGTGGAATCAGATTAACTTTCGTACATGTTTTTGCAACAAGATTTTCTTCCGTTACGCCATTCGAGCGAATTAATATCCTTATCCATTGAAAGAAAACAATTATCGTTTACTTTCTCAATAAGAATGAAATTTCAGTTGATTTATTGGTTTAAATAATACTTTCTATTTTACGCGTTTAAAACATGATTAATTCATTTCTTATATTGTTTTTATAATGAGAGAAATGAGGCGGTCCGGTTCACTGGGCGAAACGTTATTTCCTATCCCCGACAATGAATTATAATTAAGTCGAGGAAAAACAAGCAAATAAACACTAGGAAACGAGTCGAGAAATTATTAAAATTCTATGTACGAATAATACGTGCAATGATTCCATTGAAAAGTACAATTACTGTAATGAATACGGTTTGTATAAGTGCCCTGTTGCTCGTGAATGGAACTTGATTTCCAGTCGAGGAGGCGTGAGGTGAAAAAAAGAAGGAAATCACTCACCTCTCCGTGCGTGTCCCTTCGACCATCCGGGGTGTTCTCCGGCAAGAAGTATAGCCGTAGGGACGCCAGAGGTTGATTCGGGCCCCGGCTATCCATCCACAGTAGCTGAAGCTCGCCGATACTGACCAAGTCGGCATCGCTCCACAATTTCGTCAGAAAGAAGCTACCGAGGCGAAGCACACGACCGTTCCCTATCCTCACCGCTTTATAAAACGTGTACGGGCCGTGGCTGAAGCAAGCACCGCCCAATAACTGAAATGAGAAAATGAGAAAACAATTTTAAAACAATGCAAATAAATTAATATATTAAATGACGTAGAGTATTCAACAGCTCTACAACGACTCATTAACGTATACCGTATTTGCATCCAAGTACGAGAACAATAGAACAAGTCGATGTTACAAAGGGTTAAACAAATGAATAATTTCAATGCATAATTCGTGCTGTTAATCTGTACGGTTTCAACCCGAGCGTAAATAAGGCAAGGCTTCGCATTCGGTGAAACATCGGAGTACATATGTAGTTTTAAGGTCGATGTCGAGTATGCTTATTTGTAAGCCGTCAGTTCGGTTTTATGGATGTTCGTCAAGTGAAACAAGTCGTTAGATGACTCATATCCCGTGGCAACGTGGCTCGTTTGCAACGATATGCTTTCTTTAGAAAATCACCGGCGACACCTTTGCTCCCAATTATAATCGTTTCCCTTTTATTATAATTATTTCAATTATCAATCCTCGTTTTTATCGGTAAAACGTGAACTCTTTCCGAGGCTTTAACTCTCTTCAAAATAAATAGGTACATAGTGAAACACTTCGGTTGTTCAATTATGAAATTTCACCGTTCCAGCCCGTTGACGGTCATTAATAAACCTTGAGCTCATTTACGAGAGTGAATAGAAAACGATACGGCGTGTTTAAACTGAGATAACACAGAAACTAATGAAGGCAAAGTAATAAATTTTCCAGCGAGGACTCAAAATGGGTTCTCGCTCATGTTCGTAACGAGGGTATTATTAGCTTTTTCCGAAGGAAGAACACTTCACTAAACGGAGTTCTGTGAAACGTTCAATTGTATCATAGAAATTTTATATCACTTATAAAAGCGGTATGAATTACAGATAAGACCGTACTTTGGTTATTTATATACCTGGGTGATTAGTTTTGAAAATTGTGAAGAAAAGTCATACCGAGATAAGGCTCATCGCCAGATTACGTTATCGGGCAAATAAAAGAATTATAGTACATCGATTCTAAAATGTTTGACAGTTAATCGTTTGAAAAGAAAAATTGAAAACGGGAAATTTATTTAATAATAAATAAAGTATTTAAAAGAAGATAAGGAGGGAAACAAAGCGCGCAAATAGGTACAGTCATTGGCATAAATCTCGTTGAGCTTCCTTGGCGAACGGCGAAGCGAGCAACGTACTCGCGTCTTTCATGCCTTCCAGCTATCTCACTTTCTCTCACGCCTCCGTTCTTTCCTTCTCCCCTTTTCTTTTTGCCAAGATTCAACCGTCAACGTGCGTGATTAACGAAGCACGCGAGGGCACCGGGTGCAGTTCCCTCGCGATTCTAAACGGAGAGGAGCAGCGCATTGTGCGCAGCGCGCGCATCAATCAGCCACGACCGAAAACGAATTTTCCTACTACTGTGCACGTTCGCCAAATTAAATAAATAGCAATAATTTCAAACAATTACTGTTTTGAATTTTATAGAAATTCATTACCGCCAGGATAGATGTTATTATTAATTTTCGTACTAGCACCTAAGCAGTTATTATTAATTTTCGTACGAGTCGTCGAGCACAAAAACAACTACTGTTTGTTACCTATCATTTAATTTTTATAATGGAGAGGAAAATATCCGCCTTTCCCCGTAGCACGCTGTGTGTTAATACCAACTCAAACATCGCCGCGTATCGAATTGCAAATGCGATGCCCCCAGTTTTCACGGCAATGAAAAAGATTGCCGTCCGTAATTCAGAATATCCAATAGCGAGCGAGCGGGAAAAAAGGAAAAACGCGACGTGCCCTGTCTCTCTTTGCTACTCCATGGACGCGTCGTGTCGCATCGTCTACTTCGCAGCCAGTGCTTGTCCATCGCTTCCTCTCTTCCTTTATTCACACGCTCGATTTCAAATCGAATGGATTTTAGTACACGAGGGAGTACCGTCGATTCATACACATACTCTTATGATTAAAATTAACACCTACTGTCACCATACACATTCTTAGAAGCCTTTCTTTTTTTAGTACAATCACGTTTTTGTCGAATTTTATCATTGTATGTATAATTTATAAAAGCAATCGAATGAGACAACAGAAAGAGAACAATAGACTGGATTATTTTAAATAAGGAT